GTCAGGAAGTATAACAAGTGAGAGCCAATTCACCTTGAGGTCTTGGCCTGTGTACAATAAGTGAAGAGTAAAGGAAGAGAAGGAACACTGCGAAATTTCAGAGAGAACGGTTTGTGGGTTTTGATAAATAACCTCTGCTAAGCTTTTAACATTGTGTTTCCTCTAACCTAATGTATAAACACCAGGGACCATTCCCTAACCTCGCTCCCTCCCAAACCCATGCAGCCTCGCCACACATTGCTCCAGGCCATGTCACTTATTAATTATTTAAAAACAGTAGTAGGCCTATTGCACATGAAATTAATATTCAGATATTTCCCATTATCTGCTGTCAGATCCCCCCCCCCCCCCCCCCCCCCCCTCTCCCTCTCTCACTGCTATCGGTCATTTTGGTAATGATCTGTATTCCTGTGGCATTAGGTTGGTCAGGGCTTGTGCCCATTGATGCGACGTGCCTGGCATGCTGAGCGAGGTTACACTGGGCTGCTGTGTTTTCCCCACTCTTACACTGCTTCACTGGCAGGTGATTCCTCTCTTCTCGCTCGCCTACTCCCACTACCTTCAATAATAACATCTGTCTTTTCCAGCAGTGTACAAATGCAACTTTTTTTTCAACTGGTTTGGTTATTCGATATTTACATTGCACATTCCGGCCCATTAAACGTTCAAGGATAGACACATCGCAGAAGTGAGCACAGTTCACTGACTCAATAAATTATGCATCAAAAAACATGTCTTGGAATTTCACTGGCTGTATTGCAGTGAGAGCAGTGTGCCGTTTGAATTCCAAACAAAATGGCTCCCTCTAGTGCCAGAGACAGTTGTGAGGTCTCATCAAGCAAATGGTTTTAATATAAAGCCATCCATCACTGTAAGCCAGCCTGGAATTAGCAATGCTATATTAGCTTTTCATTCATTTTTGGTCAAATGCAATAAAATGTAACCCTTTTCTATGCCTGCACTGACGAACTCCCAGCTATTAGATTTTGCACTCTCAGCAATGATTGATTTTGAGGCACTATTAGACCCGCTTCAATATGAAGGAATATAGCTTGAATTTTACTGGAATTGAAATCCCTTAAACCCTCATCGTCCTCTATTTGGCTTAAGGACCTGGTATTCTTTCTCAAACTTGAGAAGATAACATGTACTCCTAGGGGTTCTGTGGCAGTGCTTGATGGATTATTTCAATAACCTCCAAACTCTCCCCACTGCATAGAGGAGGAATGTTATTTATATTTGTATTCGCTGTTATGCACTTTTACCAAATGTATTTATTTCCATTCACTTTGAATACTTTCCTCACCTTTTTTATTTATTTACCTACTTATTCATCTACTTATTTATTTACTCATTTATTTTCAGATACTTTTTTTTACTGTTTACTTGATATGCATTTGATTAAACTTGTTCCTTTATAGGTGTTTACAAGGGTTAGTTCTGGAAAGAAAAGAAGAAAAAATAAGGAAAATCACTGTCTCAATTGTAACACTGTATGATGTCCTTCAATAAAAATATTTAGCAAAACATCTGGTACTGTATATTGTGTGGAGTGTTCTCCATTTGACCTCCCACTATATACTTTAAATATTATGAATGATTAAAGCTGCACAAAGAGCAGCAGTACTGTCCCTGTCCTGCGCCCTGAGGGCTACCTGAAGCCTCTTCTGGAAATGAGTATGGTCTTAGCGCTGGGCCATCTTGAGGCTAAAACATGTTAAATATTCAAGACATCAAATTACTACATGCAGAAAATGAAGCGCAAAAACATCATGTGGATCAAGGCAGTGATGGAAAGTACATTTACTTAAGTAGCCTACTATTTAGAAATACTTATACTTCATTTGAGTATTTACATTTATGCTATACTTACACTTCTACGCCACTACTTAAATAACTCTGCAGTGGCTCCTTATAATATAATGGATTAAATGCAGGGACTAAATTTCGTGTTTGTTGCAAATAAAGACGGTTTAATTTTTGTTAAATTGTTCATGTTTTCCATTGAAAAGCAGAGTTGGACGTCTGCAAAACATAATGCTTTTTTAAAGTATTATAAAGTTAAAAAAAAACGATTGTGTGAAGTTAAACAATTGTGAAATTGACTGCAGATGCAAACCCTTACACTTGTGCATTGACAGAGCACCATTTCTACGTTTTTTAAAACCTTTTATTTCCGTGTTTTATCCAACGGGAAATTTTTCTTTCTGTATTTTATTCGATGAATACAGATTTTGCAGGTAACTCAGTAAGGAGCTTTTTGTGCTTTTGCTTATAGATTCCAATAGCTCATTTTTGCTGAAATTGCCTGCTTCCTCCTGAAGGGATTAAACAGATACTAATTACTTTCTACGTCAACTTTTGTTCATGGTCAAATGTTGTCCTTGTAGAAGTCTTCTTGTTGTCTGATGAGACTGTCTGGGCAGTATGTGCGGGAAAATCTTCCTTTGGCAGGACTATTAGTTTTGGTTTGGGTAAAGATTGGCAAAAAAGAGTGTTTTGAAGTCCACCCACGTCTTGAGAGTGCTTGTGGATCAAGGCCGATCTAAAGTGACAACTACACAATAAAAATGCTGTAAAGAATAATCAGTCATGTTTGGGTTTCAAGGCTGGAAACCTCCTAATAATAGGATACAAGCTGCATATAAAGGAGAGGTAGCTTTGAATTCTGTAAGTCTGATGTTTGTCAAGTACTGTATGCTCTGGGAAGAGCAGTGCTGACAGTTGGACCGTGGGAATGGCAGCATGCTGCGTCTGTAATATTTTCCACTCCTAACAAAAAATCTATTTCTGTCCCGTCAAGACAAATACAGAGTAAGGGATATAACAAAAGCCATAAAAGATAATTAACTGAAGTGATTACATTTCAGCTCTTTGTTAGGGCCGAGATATGATAAACGTTGATTATGATATAAGGCAGTCAGACTATTTAGTGCAAACTGTGGATGACAGATGTGTGTGACCTCTAAAATCCCATAGAGAGAATCAGCAAAGCTTAATTGGTTGTAACAAGTTTGCTTTACTGACAAAACTGAAGGTAAGTGCATACAATGTTATACCTATAAGGGAAGAAAATTGGAAAATGATGCCTTACAACATTAAAAAACTAAATTTGATCAACAACTTAAATAATGCAACATGCCGAAAAGACTACAGACCACCTCAATTTCAATGCTGTACAACAATTGACATCCTGCTGCCTTTTACTATCCAGAAAGCTGGATACACATTGTTTTACATAATAATTAATGTTTTCCATCCGGCTGCATTGCTGATTTAAAATGCAAGCAGTGATTATCATCAATGCCACTGACTGGATATATTTTCAGCGGCACACTAAAGCTGGTTGGCAAATGTTTAAACATTTACCGTATCTTCTACAGTTAGTGAATCGTCCAAATAGGATTGAACACTAAAAGGACCAAGAATTAGTTTACAACTCAATGACAGAAAAATGATTGCTAATTATTCTGATTATTGATAATCGCTTGAGCATAAGCCATTCTTATTGATCTGATGTTTCCTTGAAAGCCACAAACTGCATTACTTGTCACACTTTGGATTACCAACTGGATTTGGTTCTCTCATTTGTAATTTTGTCTGGGAAAATCTATACTCCTTGTACCTCTGCATAGGAAAACACAACCAAAGAAGAACTAGTTTAAACCTCTGTTATATCCCTTTCTTCTTACACAAACCCTTGTTGTTGCCAAAAACAGAAAACAAGTCAAAGGCTTAAACACAAGCCGACCCTAGAAAATGTATAGATCAGAAAATGGTGTTGTGCTTTTGTCAAGTGTTTCTGTAATCTTGTCTACCTTAGAATTGCTACAACACATAATGGTATTCTGCAAGGCAAATGAACCCACATCATGCATTTTTTGTATAGGACTGTATTCCTGGTTGGTTATAATCTCATTTTTCTAATGCATTATATAAGATAAGATAACTTCATCAGAGCAGAGGACTATCTGTTGTATCAAAGTCCTTTAATCACAGCATCAAAGATAAATGAAATGATGGCATCAATTGCATCACAGTGACCACTCATCACCGTGTCAATTGCATTACAGAAGTGTATCACAATAATAAAGGACGTGGTCACAGAAGGCTATTGCAGCAGAGAGGCCTAATGCCATCATCTCTATAAAGATCCATATGTTATTACAGGTAGTTTTAGAGGTTGGAGTCAGATTTTTTTTTTAAGTAGCAGTACCATAATGCACAATACATCAATGGAGGAAGCATTCAGATCTGTGACTTAAGTAGAAGTTGAAAGTAATCAGGAAATGTGATTCAAGTTTTAAAAGTCATTTTTTTCAATAACATTCTGAAATAAATGATAAATTATTAAAAAAAAAATACTTAAATGGAAACCAATTCAGTTTATTTTAGTGTATTACATACATTACATCATTAGCACATTTTAAGTCAATAAATGTTTGGTAAAATCATCAGACTGATTAATCATTTTAAGCTTTAATTGGATATATTGTTGAGTAATGTATTAATTTGTATAATCCTTCTTTATTTCAATATTATTGTTGTTATTATTATTATTATTATTATTATTATTATTATTATTATTATTATTATTATTATTATTATTATTAGGTAGTAGGGTAGAAGTATACAATGAAATAAAACGAAAAAACCCAAGTAAATTATAAAAATCATCACAACGCTGCTTTGTTGCTAAATGTATAACCTGACAATATTGTATCACGTTTTTATCAAATTCTGTTCTACACTCACATGGTCGTTCAGTATAGCACATCGGATCCTATATAAATATAATATATTTCCCAACAACTGTTTACAACATTACACTTCACCAATGTAATCTAATAGACATTGTTCTCTGTATACATCATAATATAGAGCCCACCGTTCTGTTGCCAGCATCACGGGCGAACACACGCGACACCTGTTCCTGTTCCCTGATTGGTCAGCATTGCCGGGAAACCTCCTCGCGACATCAGCCCGTATAAATACTCCGAGCCGCCTTGTTTTTACGCAGCCCTGTTTTATGAGGGAAAATGTATCGTCTCGGCCAACAATCTATCTCCAAGATCGCCTTCAATTCCTTTTTATCCGCTGTGCCACGGGAAAATTTTCATTTTACGAGACAATATAATAAAAACTGGTCGAGTATTGGCTGATTTTTGATCATATTATACATTTTTCTGCACGAAAATGCCGAGGACTAAGAAGAAGAAAAGCAAGGGTAAGTAAGCGAGCGACCGCAATGCTTTGGCCTAATTTATTCGACATCACCATGCCGACGGTAGTTGTAGTTCTATTCGTGTTTTCAATCCATGTAATAGAGTTGGACGTGCTTGCAGAAAGAACTACAGACGCCATATGCTGGCCTACGTCAAAACACAAAGCTGGCTAGCCGTGGTCACACAACGCATTGCTCTTATAAAACGTGCCATAATATGATGCTTTTGCCTTATAATTATTGGCACACAACTTAAGTGACCTTAAACGAATGTTTAGTTCCCATAAGCCCCTAACTGATGTCGCTATTTACAAGCTAACGTCAGCTAGCTAATGTCAACTCCACACTAGCATAATAACGTACAGCTTTGGTTGCTAGGTGAAGTTAATTTAAGCAATCACATGTTGACAGTTGACCGTGTTTAAAGCATTAGTAGACGAATTAATACCTTTTTTGTGGGCCTACAAATTAAAGACATTATGTAAGCTAACTCCAATTAGGTGAAGTGAGTTCGTCTTGTCTGAAACCACTGACCTCAAATAATCTTTACCCGAATGTCTGACTCCTATTCAGTCTGACTGAAGTTGGCTGACTGTAAATAACCACGTATGGAAGATAACCGTTTTTATATTGGTTTGTATAGAGTTATTATTGTCTAGCAACAGAAGGCAGACATTTTGCACTCCAGACACCAGGGTAGAAAAGAGGCGGTGCCCGGTTCTCAGAATGCATAGTCGTGGTGGAGAGTCCACGTCAACAAATAGAAATAGCCTCTTAAGTGGATAAAATAGCCTTTTTCCAAATTAACTGACAGTGACTTCATATAGCTTTCCTCATGACTGAACAAGTCCTTTTTTATTCTTGGTTGTAACTACGTCAAAACTTGTTCTTACAGTGCCCAGCATTTTGTTTCAGAGGTTAGTTCAGGTCAGGCCTGTTGAATCTGGTTACAGTGAACAGACATTAAGAAAGTCATTTCCTATATTTTGTACTTTACCAAAGCTTTATTGTTTTGAACAATAAACAGACTCAATATGTTCACACCCTTTTTTTAGCTGTGATTGTTCACACTTCATGCTTTTGGTAAGAACCTTTTAATATATTCACCATTGTCTGACAGCCATGCAAGTATTCTGTGTTTTGAAGGGTCTGTTTTAAACAGGATTTCATTCCAATTAATAATATTTGGACAAGTTCCCTTCAACACTGATACTCATTTGTACTCCGATTAGGACTTACAAAGACAAATAGCTTCCTCCTTGTCTTATGTCCTACGTTGTTGCTTTCTGTTGTGCTTCTTGACTATCCCAGTTCAATATCTTCCCTATTCTGAACAGTAACTTTAAAGTTGAGAGTAATCCCCATGGCAAGAGCTTATGTCACGTAGTTCAGTTGTGTTAACCTGTGTCCCTTAACCTGACCATGATGTTGTGTTTACACTGTCAACACATGTGTGGGCTTCCCTTGACAGCATGTGGCATTTTCATATGAGATAATGAAAGTACAGCAGGATAAGGTGTACAAAGGACATAATGCAGATTAGATTACTGCAGTGTTTTTTTGTCTACCTGTGAGCAGCTGGTGTTACATAATGGACTTGCTGTACTAATGCATTTGATTTGATTTGATTAGGCTGAATTGTGTTTTCTATGCTTGTGTTTTTTCAGGGGGCCAGCATGGAAATGTGCAGCCTTTCAGTGATGAGGATGCCTCCATTGAGACCCTCAGTCATTGCAGCAGCTACAGTGACACTGCCAGTGTGGCAGAAGAAGGTAGGTTTGTTTACCTTTGCACATTGTGTGTTTTATGTCTGATTCTACTTGTGAGTATGTATGATTTGTGTGTGTGTCTGCATGAGCCAACACTTGTTGTACACTCATCAGAAAGAAAAGCAAATCTTGGGCAAATGTTTGCATTAAACTACCAGTGTTTGTTTTTCTTGAAATCAAAGACCATCCTTAACATTTAGACAACCCTACTATGAAAAGTGCAATTCATCCAATGTGTCAATACTGTGTAGCATTATGGACAAGTGTCTAAATGTTGTGGTGTTGCCAGGTGGCGAGGCCAGTGAGGACGCAGCCCTGGAGGATTTCCAGTACAAACTGAAGGGGTTCATAGATAGCACGGTTGACAAGAGGTAATAACAAGTTCAGAGGTATTCAGTTAAGTTAAAGATCCTGACAAGTCTATTCACCATGTGTTTAGTGAACTTATATCAAAGTAGGGATGCACCAGCAAGGCCACTTTATTGCTATTGTTAGAAAGGAACACATTACAGGTCTTTTTTTATAATTTGATGAGAATGAGGTTGATGAAGAAAGATATTAGCAGGAATGAATGATTGTGTACCTGTTTCCTCAGTGCGAAGACCAGGCAAGGCGCGTTGGATGGGCTTAAGACGGCCATGGCCACACGGATCCTGTACGAGTTCATCTCCGAGAGGAGGATGACCATCACAGACAGCATCGAACGCTGCCTCAAGAAAGGTACCAGAAAAGATACAAAAACAGATTCATCTGTTGGATCCATTTGATATTTTTGGGCGTTCTGTGATAAGTTGATTACCTTCCAGGAAAAGGAGAGGAGCAGCGAGCAGCAGCTTCTTTGGCCTGCCTGCTGTGTATCCAGCTGGGATCAGGCATCGAGAGCGAGGAGGTGTTCAAGACTCTGAAACCCATCTTCAAAAACATCCTGGCAGATGGATCTGCCAACATTCAAGCCAGACAGGCCGTGAGTACCTGAGAATTTTTGACGCAAAGCATTACATATTATTAGATTATAAGACGTTGGTTCCTCTACGCTCATGTCTTTTCTCCAGCCTTCCTCCTGTCTGCTCCCTTCCTCACCCTCTTTATTCTGTCGGCAGCTATGTTGAGTGTGTGTGTGTGCAGGGGTGCCGTAAGAGGGTGAAAAGTTAGGACGATTCTAAGGGCCCGTGACTGACAGGGGGCCAAACAATTTTAGAACATTAAGAAAAAAAGTGTGTGTGTGTGTGTGTGTGTGTGTGTCAAGAGCACCCACACACACACTTTGTCTAACACAGTTCTGTGTACTGTTATGTTCAGTCATCGTTCTTATGTTGAACATGAATACATTTACTTTGTAAGTAATTATGGGACGTATTTCTTCTTTCATCGCAATTTTCCTTCATACTTTCTTGCCGTGAAATAAGTCTTAAATTCTATTCAAAGTGGTCTTAAATTTGAGTTGGTGAAACCTGCAGGAACCCTGTAGAATGCATCATTGACAGGAATCATGTTACAATGTGGTTGTTTTGGTTTTTCTGTATGTGTGAACAAATCTCTTTTCCTCTTATAGCTTGCAACAAGTCTGGGCCTCTGTACTTTAGTGGCAGAAGATGACATTCTGGTAAGTCACAATTATACTACACTTTCTAGCATTTCTTTTTGCACTGTGCAAACCCCAGTCCTGATATGATCTCTTCTACTTCCTGCTGTAGGACGTGCACGCTACCATGGAGTGCTTTGAGAACCTGTTCACCCGGTCCTACGCGAGAATGGATGGCACCTGTCCTTTGATCAGTCCCCAGACGAGCCAGCTCCACACCAACGCCCTGCTGTCCTGGGCTCTGCTGCTCACCATCTGTACTGCCAACCAGCTCAAAGACGTCCTGCGCAAGTAAGACCCTCTGTCAACCCTGAACTAAATCTGACAGCATACACATTTTTTTATTATACTGCAATCCAGACCAAGATAAACGCTAAACAATTAATTTTTTGTTATGCAGACACCTGCCAAAACTGCCAAGATTGTTGGAAAGTGATGACGTCAACATGAGAATTGCTGCAGGGGAAACCATTGCGCTGCTCTTTGAGTTGGCCAGAGACATGGATGCTGTAAGTTCTTAGGAAGTATCAGGAATAAATAACTCGTTGAATTCAAAAGGTGCTATTTTGGCGCTATTATGCATCTTAACTCATACATTTAGTCTGTTGGCTGTCTGTTCTTTGAAATGAATGCAGCATTTCTTTCTCCATGTCCCTTCAGGAGTTTGAGTTTGATGACTGGGATGAGCTGTGTGACAAACTGAACGCATTGGCCACCGACTGTAACAAACACAGAGCAAAGACGGACAAGAGGAAGCAGCGGTCGGTGTTCAGGGACGTACTTAGAGCTGTTGAGGTGGGTGTTCTTGAGACAAATTTAAAAGGGACTTTCTTACAGAATGATTAAAGATTTCTGTATGTAGTTATTTTTCTCACATCCATCTTCTCTTATCCTTCCAGGAGAGTGACTTCCAGCCTGAGACCATTAGATTCGGCACAGAGCGCATGATCATCGACAGCTGGGTCAGAAAAAGGACATACGATGCCTTCAGGGAGTTTGTCGGCTCTGGGATGAACTACCACCTACAGGTATATTTTTACGAGTAACTCACAAACTTGAAATGTGAATGCATGCGGCTTGACTTTTCGATTTAATGGCACTGCAGTGTTCCTCCTGCATTGACGCAGCACTAAAACACAATAGAGATCTGTAGTCCTGCCTGATGCAGGGAGACAACACTTGCAGCTTGATTTAGGATTATGTTAAAGAGAGAAAAAATGCAGTACAAGAAGCTGGTTGGAAAGTATAATGCCGGGTCAGTGCTTGGGGGAATGTTTTTTACAAGTGAAGATTAGACAATGGAGCATATTTTAGAGCACGTTACTTTAAAAGGTCTCTGAAGTGAAGCAAGCTGTGGTTCGGATGTGCGTTATGATTGGCAAGCAGAGTTGGGTGTAATAATATTACTTTTGTCGGTAACGGAGTAGTGTAACGCTTTACTTTTATAATTCAGTAATCACACTACAGTTACTAACATTGCCCCGACACGCGTTACTTCGTTACTTTTATAAAATCAGTCATAATCAATGAGGGACAGACAAGAGGGGTTTCCGCCGCAGGTTTATATGTACGTAATCTGCGCGACTTGCGCCTCCACATCTCCACGTGCAGTGCTGCATAAACATGGCTGAGTCAGCGATAACTTTCGAGGGGTGGAGGTATGCCCATTATTTTGAGTTCGTCCGAAGAATAGACAGGAATGTGACGGTGAGGTGCAAACTGTGTCCAGGGGCCTCATTTCTAAAGGGATATACGCTCAAAAAATGGCGTACGCCAGTTTCTACGCAATGTTTGCGATTTATAAAATACTAACTTGACGGGAAAATGTGCGGTCCTCCACGCAAACTCTAACCCATGCGTACGCACTAAGCACAACAACGGGAGAGACGAGAAACTGCGACACCGTTGGCAGAAGGAAGAATGGAGAGAAATATGTGGAAATAAATTAAATGTTACCTCTCATTTATCATATATGAAGAATTCATTTTCAAACATTGATTAAAGCCAATCTTTAAATGATTAAACAAACGCCTGTTTGAGACTCCTCAGTGCACACAAAAACATAACTTGGAGAAATAAATAAATACGGATATGTTATTTAAAACCACCTCGAATATGTTGTGTTAATGTTATGAAATGTTTTCTCATAAATGATGCGGTAAGCAGGAGGACAGAATTACGTCTAAACTAACGCCGTTTTGCATTTCTATAGGTTGTAGATACGAGCGTGGTTTTATATACTATCACGTTTAATCGTGTTTTATGCCGTTTGCCAAGACTTGATAAGTCGCTCGTAAAGCACAGGAGGTATGGATACTAAGAACACCATATGTGGTAAATTGTACAGCTAATATAACACAACACATTAGTTGTATTTCCTTTAACTGGTGGATTATGGATATATAGTTGCTGATCGACAGCTGGAACACAAACCACCAAATACAACAAAATCATTCCGATCCAGTCGTCATGACTCCACTCCGGAGGGATTCCCCGATCATTTCTTAGAGTTTCTCATCAAGGGGGGGTCTCCTGTCCCCGGGACAAACACACTGCCAGAGGAAAGTTATGTGTATTTTTTTTGTCATTAACTTTTTTCGGACCACTTATTTATTTATTTTGGTGACGATCCGACCTCCATGCTGCTACTCTGGTTCAAACTGCATCCACCAAACAATATGATTTATCTCGACCTCCCCAAAATAACCAAAATCTGACACGGTGTGAGATGTCTTTTTTTAGCTGTTCGGTCGTAATTTCCTGTGATCTTCTTCATGCAGTCAGTCAAAATGAATGACTGAATGGGCGTTTCTTTGACTATTTATAGGCAAATATGGGCGTTACGTGAAGCCTGCAAAAGCTGCGCCGCATTTCGAGTCGATTGTGATTTATAAAGGGAAACAGGCGTATGAAGTGCCGGTACGCAATGTTTTGTGAATCGGAAAATGTCTGTACCTATTTTTTTGCTTTGTACTACGTAAGCAACCTTCTCACGTCAATCCTACGCAAGGCGTTATAAATGAGGCCCCAGGCCAGAAGCTGTTATCCACTGCTGTAAACACCACGTCAAACCTCAACAAACACCTGCAAAGAACACATGCTAAGGTGAAGCTAATAGCTACCGAACCCAGAGTGAGGATGTTGTGAGTGCGCCGCCGCCGACTCCGAAGCAGCAAACATTTGAATTTGGAGGACCGGTAACCAAAGCAGAGATGGACAGGCTTGTAGCATCCTTCATAGTAGAGGAAATGTTGCCCATTTGCACAGTGGAATCACCATCGCATCGTTCAGAGATATACTGCGCAAAATACAGATAGCAGGAGACAGAGGACAGCCATGGTCAGAGCTATCTGAATCAGTCTTATGCGACAATGGAAACTGAACTAAAGAGAACATTTGAAACTTTAGCAGTCTGCCTGTAGGGAGGGGCGGGCCGGCCCTGCGAGTAAAGTAACAAGTTACTTTATGTAGAGAGTAAGGAAGTAGTGTAATATATTACTTTTTTTTTAAAGTAATATGTAATATATTACTTTGTTTTAGTAACGACCCCATCTCTGTTGGCAAGTCATTTCTAATTAGTTTTATTTGACTTCTCAAGGCAAATGAATTCATCAGAGACGTTTTTGAACTGGGACCACCGATGCTGGTTGATTCAGCCACGATGAAGGCCATGAAAATCTCTCGCTTTGAAAGGGTAAGTTATTCAAATCAAATGAATCGTTTTTATGACATTAAACATGCCGTCTATAATGGACTATATTAACATTTTCTCTCCTTTTTCCAGCATCTCCACAACTCTGCTGCATTCAAGGCTCGGACCAAGGCCAGAAGCAAGTTCAGGGACAAGCGGGTGGACGTGGGAGAATTTTAACATCTGTTTCTTTTTCACTTGTAATACCCTATTTATCATGGTTTCCTGCTTTTTAGCTGAATTATTAAGAGGTTTAGTCAATTTCCTCCTCGCTCAAAATCTGTTTTTGTGTTTCGGACATTCACTTTCTTTAGATTTTAAAAAGGTGGCTATCACATTCTCTACTCCTGTAGTGGACCAAATTCTTTTGACATCCTTTTTAAATCTGTAGAAGGTGAACGTGCGATAATCAAACAGTAGTTATTGAGCATCTATCCACATAAGCAGTGGTGTTGTACATATATAGTGTATATTTCTTTGCTCCCCATGTTAATAATCATTGTGGCCTTTTTTTTTCAACATAAGTTATATATACATTTGTCAGACTTAATCCTGCACATATGTTTAATTAGGTCATAGTAATGTTAAGATATATTTGTGATCCAACCCTTTGATGGATTTGTATTTAGTTGCACTACCTAAGTGGGTGACTTCTGTAGAACCTCGGTAAATATTGCGTTGTCCTTTTTAAGTATTGGGTATTTAATTGAAAAGAGCAAAATGGTGAAATAAACACTAAAGCTGTAAGAGATGAAGTCCTTATTGTTTCTTATGTTTATGATACATTACACAGTACTTAAAGGGGCCCTATTGTGCTTTTAGGTGTTTTCCCTTTCCTGAAGTGTTATATTTGTTTTTGTGCATGTAAATGGCCCGCAAAAAAAAATCCCTAAGTTCTCCATGGTGCTCCAACACATTGTACGTGAATGGCTAAGGGGCGGGACATCTATAAGTGTTTGACGAATCACAACAGAGCCAACCAGCTAACCAATCAGAGCAGACTGGGCTCTGGTTTCAGACGGAGGGTGAAAAGAGGTGCAGCAGCACAGGCAGTATGAGAAAAATAATGACCTTTTTGAACATTAAAGTATGTAAACATGTCACAGTAGAGGCATAGAATACACATGTATCTAAACATTTAGCATACTGGGTCCCCTTTAATGGACATGACTGACCAAAGATTCATTGATCAAAAATATTCATAGGGGGCTCAAAGCATTATATTCCATTGCTGAAAACCCGTGATGGAAGTTGTCTTTAAAAATCCTGCCAGATATCTGAAGGTCATTTCGAGCGAAGAGGCAGTACACATCTTATTGATTTTCTTCTTCCACACTGCAAAGTGAAGGATGTTGCAGTCAAGGTGACAGAGGCATTACAGTGAGCACACCCGGTCTGCACTTTATAAGACAAGTTTGTCAGTGAAACTGTTGAGGTAGCACAGGAAATAAAGGAGGTCCTACTACATTGTACATTTACTCCCCCAGGTCCTGCTCTAAGGCTGCTGCTTTTATAGGGCAGTAAAAATGGTCCATAACAGCAGCATGATAAAGGTTAATGTGACAAAGCGGCAAATAGTCCCGTCAATAACTTGGAGTGCACACCTGCAATCGATGCAGCTTCCTTCTTCAGGTGGAACAAAATTACTTTGAGGACGCAGGGGCTTGTGGCTTTTTCTCCCATAATGGTTGTTAAGTATAAAGGACATCCATGAGTCCCTCAGCTTTTATTGAAATTCCTCTTATTTAAATCAATAGATGCATCTGGGCAAAGACTAGCATTGTCATGGCCTGGCTCTTAGCCATAACAAAAAGCGTGGAAAGGACAAGAATATGTAAAAAAAAAGTATTTATTTAGCAAAACTTAATGTGTCCGAAGACAAACACAAAGGCAAAGCAAAAAAACATAGGCGACGTGGCTGCTCTCCGAGGTCCGGTCCTCTGCGGGGAGAGAGAGAGATCAAGACTCTGGCCCAGGCCTCTTAATCCTCCGCCAGCCGTCAGGTGTCCTCAATCAGGCCGTCAGGTGTCCTCAATCAGGGCGTCAGGTGTCCCCAATCAGGGCGTCTCAAGCAGAGGAGAAACATTAAAGGGCCATGCACACCACAGGAGACAACAAGGCAGGGGTCGTCACACCCCCCCCCCCCCCTTAAAGTCGGTGTCCCCAGGACCACCGGCACACCAATCCCAACCCTGACAAAACAAAAAACACCAGTAATGAACAACAAAAACACAAGACATAATGCACCCCACCTCCAACAAAACCACCAATTGCAACATACAACCCTCACACTGCCAAACGCTCCTCCAACACCCAGCCACATCTTTAGCAACTCAGGTAAGCTACCTGAGAAGCACACTTTAAAAGGATGGGCAGAGCGAGAACGATTTATCGAACAGTATGACAGACAATACATTACCGTCACGGCCCATGTTTCCTCAGTTGTAGCAGTTAGTTTCACTGGCTTTACTGCACTGCACCGCAACGTGGCCAATGTCGCCACACCTGTAACATTTCACCCTACTGCACCGTCTCTGGATGTGACCAAGCCCACCGCAGGAATAGCACTTCCGGTCGTTGGCATACCCACAGTCACGAGCCATGTGTCCTTGGTCTCCACACCGATAGCAGGACATTTCCTTGCCTCTTCCTCGACCCCTGCTGCCGCCGCCACGACCACCATCAACGCTGCCGCCACCACGACCACCATCAACGCCACCGCCGCCACGACCACTTTGACTAGTGGGACAATGCTTGATCATCTGGTTTCCAAACATATTTTTGTCCATAGCACGAGTGGTCACACAAGAGGACGTGACGTCTGCCAACACTGTAGAGCTCTCCTCAGACCCTGACTCAATCGGGCCGCCAGTGACTAAAAACGCAGGGGGAACATCAGTCCAGACTCTGCTCCCTGCCAAACCGTTGCCCAGGATGAAGTGTATCCCCTCGATTGGCAAAGCTGGACGTACACCAACAGCTACTTCACCTTTAACAAGGTCACAGTCAATATACATCCTATGAACAGGAATAGGAAGAACTTTTAATCCCATTCCCCAACTCAGAACGGTGTCACCAGTGTCACTTTCATAAGACAAAGGCAAAACAGAGTCAACAATATAGGAATCAAAAGCCCCTGTGTCTCGCAAGATCTTGATTGGAACTCTGACATTACTACCTACCAATGACACCAAGCCGTCTCGTATAAATGGAGCATAAGATGCCAAAACCTCAGATCCACATAAGTGGGATGTAAGCACATCGGCAACACAGCAGCTTTTCACAGGAGCAGCTAACGCAACAGGCCCAACAAAATATCTTCCTCCCTCAGATTTTGCTCCAAGCGCAGGACATTCTGCCTTCCAATGGCCTTTTTCACGACAGTAGTGGCAAATATCATTATCCACCTCAGACTTGACCAAACCCAATTTCCTTGGCTCCATCCCAAATGAACCAACATCAACAGCCTTTCTACTTCCTTCAAAAACAGCTAGGGCCCCAGAGCGCCCTCCGAACCTGCTCTTATGAAGCAACACAAACTCATCAGCTGCCACAGCAGCTTCAGCCGCAGAAGTGACCCTGTGTTCTGTTATGTAAGTAGCAATTTTGTCAGGAAGAATATTTTTGAACTGTTCCAAAGTCATGAGCTCACACAAATCGTCAAAAGTAGTGACGTCAAGAGCAGTTAACCAACGCTTAAAATGAACAGACAAATCCCTCGCCATCTCCACATATGTTTGATCTTGTTTTTGCTCAAAGGACCTAAAACGCTGTCGATAGGCCTCTGGCACCAGTTCATATGCTCTAAGCACCGCCGATTTTATTTTACTATAGCTAGAGCTATCTTCCAAACATAAAGAGGAATATGCAGACTGTGCTCTTCCTGTGAGAACACACTGAAGCATCAGAGCGCAGTCTGCATCAGGCCAATCTCTAGCCCTAGCTACACGTTCAAACAACAAAAAAAACGTGTTGGGATCACCTTCATTAAAGTGAGGCAGCAAGCGCAGGTTATTAACATCAAAGCGATGAGGAGACCTGGGCACCTGTTCACCCTGCCCCTCACCGGACAACGCGCCATCTCTGAGAATAACCAGACGACGTCCCTCCAACTCTATCTTGGCTTTCTCAGATTCTTGTCGCATCCGCTCCACTGTGATTTCCTTTTCAATTCCCAACTCATACTTCCTTTTGTCATGTTCCCGGTCACGTTCATACCTTACTCTGTCATGTTCCCGGTCATGTTCCCACTTTATTTTTTCGTGTTCCTGCTGCAACAATAACATTTCCCTCTGCTGCTCAAAAGAAAGTGCACTTGCCTGAAAACGAGGTTTTAACAAAACCCCCTCTTCCTTTGCAGCAAAAACTCCCGTCTCCCTTAATGTCGACACTATAGAGTCTTTTATGTTATCTTTCACCCTTCTATCCCCGACAATAGACACAGAGAAATGCTCAGCAATTAAGAGCAGCTGCTCTCTTGAAAAAGTGCTAAGCAACTCCTGAGACGGAGCTTCAACAAATGCCTCTACGTCAGCCATATTAACTTCCAACGACCCCTCACCGGAACACAACACCGGACCTTTAATCCGAGAGATGAGAAAAAGAAAAAAAAACACAAAAACAAACCGGACAGATACCACAACGCTTATTATGCGTGATGCGTCCAAAGTGGAACAACACTAATGTTCTGATTGGAGTTTCCCCACTAACTCACCATCCCACTGACTAATCTCCTCCCTAGTCTTCATGCAGTTACTTGTGGTGGGTATTTATGCACCGGAGACCGCTGGCCCAGCAAAGCGACTAGCAAGCTAGCAACACTACTGTGACCACGGCCATGCTCCCAAGCCGAAGCTTCAACCACTTTCTCCGCAACACTACACACCCCGCTCAACAATCCCAAGGGAACCGCCGCTTAACCTGCCAGGGAAAACTCTGCACCGCTCCGCACCGCTCCACCTGCAACGCACCAACAAACCCCCACGAGAGAAAAAGGAGAAAAACAAAACAAGACAAACAGCTGACCACGGCTAAGAACAACTAGCAACCACTCTCCCGAAATATAATACCAAACAAATCAAAGCTTCACAAAGTAATCAAATCAGTCCCCAAACAACGATCTGAAATCTAATGTCCTTCCCACAACGAGCCGAAACAAAGAAACCGGCCGTACTGCAAACGCGCTCCCAACAAACGTTATACACGCGCACCAACTCCCAACACAAATCTTACCTATCCGTTGCTGTATCACAGATAAAAAGAAGTGGACGAGCCCCCATCTGTCATGGCCTGGCTCTTAGCCATAACAAAAAGCGTGGGAAGGACAAGAATATGTAAAAAAAAGTATTTATTTAGCAAAACTTAATGTGTCCGAAGACAAACACAAAGGCAAAGCAAAAAAACATAGGCGACGTGGCTGCTCTCCGAGGTCCGGTCCTCTGCGGGGAGAGAGAGAGAGATCAAGACTCTGGCCCAGGCCTCTTAATCCTCCGCCAGCCGTCAGGTGTCCTCAATCAGGCCGTCAGGTGTCCTCAATCAGGGCGTCAGGTGTACCCAATCAGGGCGTCTCAAGCAGAGGAGAAACATTAAAGGGCCATGCACACCACAGGAGACAACAAGGCAGGGGTCGTCACACATAAATCAAGTCTGTTTTTAAAGCTTTAAAAACTCCCGCACTTCATTGCTTCTTGGTAATACACTTGTGTGTTGAACAAATTCCTTCAACGTTGTGGGGGGAAACTTCTGTGTCACCGGACACACAGGGAGAGCTGGAGCTTTGATGGCAAACACTGATGGGTTTATTTGGAGCTTCGGCCGGAGAATTCACAAAACAAGTCAGAGTCAGAGGTTCTGACTTCACGGTAGAGTTGCCACGTCAATTCTGAAGAACTCTACCCCAGACCCATGCATTTAGCTAGTTCAGAGAGAATAATCAACATTGTGCATAACAAGATAGAATCATAACACCTCTATCAGCTGACGCCAACAGACAGGAACAGGGAGACAAAACACTGAGAACACAGCAGCCAAGGTTACAGGTGCGTGTGCTCAGTCAGGACAGTTTGAACTGATACACTGGGTCAAAGTTATGGGCCTTGGAAAATATTTCCCCAACAAACGTGTTAGTCTCTCAGCAAGTTCATTCTGACCAAGAGGATGATCCCTAAACTGCAAAAAAATGCTGATGTGAAGAGGGAGAATTATTTGCATGGCACAACTGCATTTTTGGGGCATTTTGGTTTTATAATAAAGTCCTTTCTTGAAATGTGCTTTGTTTAAATCCTCTTAAAGAAAACTATGTACACCTTTCTCTAAAACCTGAATACGTGATAGATAATAATCTGTTGAACATGGTGATGAGATGATATTGTAAAAATTATTGACCAGATAGGATTCAAATATGACTTCATAGATATAGCATTTCAATAGCGACGATGTTTGTCCCATCAGAGACATTACATTACATGTCATTTGTTAGACGCTTTTATCCAAAGCGACTTACATACATTCAGTACTGTGGACAATCCCCATAGGAGCAATTTGGGGTGAAGTGTCTTGCCCAGGGACACAACGACATGCTGACTGCAGTGGGACTCGAACTTAGTACCCCCTGATTCGAAGTCCAGCACTCTATCCACTGAGCCACAGCCTCCCTGTGACAGAGACAGGTGAAATAAGATTAAAATCTATGAAGCATAACTTCATTTTTTACCCATTCTTCCTCCTTGTGAAATCCTAGTGCCAATATTACCCAAAATGCAAGTACACATTTGAAGCATCGTCTTGAGTATTTAAGGCACATGTGTCAAACTCAAGGCCCGGGGGCCAAATCAGGCCCTTGGTGGATTTAATTTCGGCCCGCAGGATAATTTTTAATTACCATTAGATCTGGCCCGCCGGTATATTGCACGCACACCTTCCTCAGCTCAGAGCCTGACCCCAAACATTGATGAACTTGCACCCAATATGAGATGCCAAGTATCTGGCTTGAACTAGTATCACAGAGCAGCACACTGAGTTTCAATGGATGTTTCCTTCTGCGCTTTCTTTCTTGCGACAACAGGGCATGTTTGGTTTGTTCTTTAAGGGAAATTGTTTTTTTTTGAATGCAACTGATTATTTAATGTTTAATGTTGTTTTTATAGGCAATAATTGAAGCTTTGTTAGTTCCAGGTTTAATATGTGCAATAAGTTCATTTCAATAAGTTTTGCAATAAACATTGAACCAGTCCGGCCCCTGATGTAAGGGTTACAATTAGCAGTTAAAATTACTGCAGTGGCAATAATAATAACACAAAAGCATAACATACTGTATAAAAGTACATTTCATACTTTTAAGTATATTTTGATGATAACACTTAAGGTTTTGAATGCAAGACTTTAAATTGTATGGAGTATGTTTACAATTTGGTATTAGTACTCCTACTTTAGGGTCTGAATACTTCTTGGGTGGAACTACTCAGTATTTCTGTGAAACTGCATGAACAAAAATAAAAACATTTCTCTACAATATTTAAGCAGGAAGGTTTCTTTAATATAAACTTTGTTCGAACTTGGTTTCAGCCGCTGTAATCCATTGTTAATCTCAAAGTATTGATTGCTGCCGCCTTAAATCCTCTTCTCTGTTAAGAATGTAATATACTTGCTGCTTTTGAAAACCGTATTAGTTTCAGTGTGGATTTTCAGTATTGAAACAAATTCCTCCTCCCAGCATTTATGGCTTCTCGGTAGATAAACATTATTATATTTGATTAGATCTCTACTGTGAGGCAGGTGGGAGGAACGTGCAGAATGCTAATGCTGCGTTGTTATTATTCATAATTCACCACAGCCTGTTTTCAAGGAAAACCATCACTGGGTAATTAAGAGAGATTAATAAGGAGTCAGAGATGTGATAAGGTATCTTCAGTTTAATCAATGGTTACTTTCATTTGTGTCGTTATGCACTCAATGCAATTTAGGAGACTCACTGTTACATCGACTTACTGGTTAAGCAATTCCATCTGTGAGGCTTTGCTGGTGCAAGATGAGAACAAAAGATGTGGTTTCTGCAGTATGCTCCAGTAGATATGGGACAAACTGTAATATTGTTATTGTAGTGGGTCGGATTTCAACTGCGAGTGGCGCAGAGTCGGTATTTAAAGACACAAATCCACTTTAAATTCCTTTCCTGTTCTAAACACCTTAACTGAATGCTGTTATTCATGTTTAATATAACTGTGATCAGGATTGGGCGGGTTTGTATTCCTTTACAATTACAAATGACCTGTTTAAAAATGTAAACAGTAACAAAAGTGTTATAGAATAGAATATTTCTTTATTGTCATCATACAAAGTACAATGACATTTCATTGGGAA